TATTATAGCTTATCATACACAAAATGAATTAGTACTTGCTTATAATGAAAAGCTTTAAAAAAGTTCTTTTATAATATTTATCATTCAATCATTTATAAAATCATAATATTCAGTACCTTTTATATCCTATACAATATAGTATAATTTATTGTGATCAACACGTGCTCAAAATTGATGAACTATTATTAATCCAATAGTAGGATACTATATCTAATCATATGATTTTAAACATATGAATTGTTGTATTACTTTATAATGAATCAGTAATATGTTCTTGTGTAAGTTTAAAAAGAATATAAGTATTTTCAAAGCATATTTTTCTTGCATTTCTAAGTAAGTAAATACGAATTTTATTATTTTGATTTTGAACATAATTAATATGACATATATTTAAGGATTTTTTAAGTTTTTGATTGTGATCATGAATCGATTGATGTTAAACCACCGTTGGAAACCTGGAAGCACTGGATGGCCGTTTCGTCCTATTGTGGGACTCCTCAGCAGTGCGCACCCACGATCCCATTGGCGGGATTCAAACCCAGGACCTTCAGTCTAGCACGCGAACGCTTAACCTACTGGACCACTGAACCAGCATCTAATGGTGTTAGTATCTAACACCAATCAATCCACGAAATTGCTCGACCATCTTCCATTGTACTGATGTAGATACCTATCTCGACTCGACACGGATTAACTCCACTGGTCACGAATTCTCACTATAACTTCGAGAATTCCCTAACGAAGTTAGTCACTTGTGAGCACATGATAATTATCATTAATAGGACTGCTGAAGAGCCACACAATTGAACGAAACGGCCATCCAGTGCTTCCAGGTTTCCAACGGTGGTTTAACATCAATCGATTCATGATCACAATCAAAAAATTAGTAATCTCCACAACCCCGATACTGATTTTTTAAGTTTACTTAAATGTTTAATTGATTTATAATACTTGACATTCTATCCCAATTGATTCATCCCAATAATTTTTATTTGAGACAATGATTTTTGATTAGTCTGATGTTTTACTCCTTGTAAGTCAATATTGTTTATAAACAAAAACCAACTTCTAAAATCTCCACACAATCCCTTCTGATAATAAAAACCAACTTGTATGTATAATACGGTTTCCCATTTTACTAATGAACTACAAAATACTTAATTGCTTGTTTTATCATTTTGTTCATTTGAAAGATGCAGTTAGTCAAATGTAAATTTATAAGTGTAATAATCAGTTAAGTTATCACATGTATTACCCTAGTCCAATTAGTTAATTAGTATCTGTCCAAGATCTACTACAATGACTAGAACTGTAGATCATATCAGCTTGATGCATTTAACAACTCTAATATTAAAACATTTTTCAATAATAAATAGATGATAAACTCACTGAAAGTTTGATTATTGGGCTTCAGATTTAAATCCAATTGTATCTATTTCAGTTTATATAGTCGGCTGGCATCACCAACTCACAGACAATGTGATTTTAAGCCAAATACATAATTTTTTACTGTTTACTGCTGATAAAATGCTGTCCTTTAGTATCATTGAGCAGCAATACCAGGATGTTTGGGAAGCGTTTCTCCCTCTCTAATTGCGAAGCGTTGCTTCAGGACTGGTCTTCGTCAACGCCTGAACTAAGGATAGGAAATGAAGTGGTCGAACGCATCAATAACTCCACTCATCTTGGAAACCTGATCAGCCCTAATGGGTTGGTGTCTGACGAAATCTCTGCACGGATTCAAAAGGCTCGTTTGGCTTTTGCCAACTTACGTCATCTATGGCGAAGGCGAAATATCCGTCTATCAATTAAGGGACGAGTATACTGTGTGGCAGTTTGTTCCGTTCTACACTACGGCTGCGAAACATGGCCATTAAGAGATGAAGATACTCGTAAGTTACTAGTATTTAACCACAGGTGCCTTAGAAATATTGCGGGTATCTGCTGGGATCACCGGGTAAGTAATAATGAGGTTAGACGCAAGGTATTAGGGAATGATGGTAAATCAGTTGATGAGGTTATGAATCTTCATCGACTGAGATGATTGGGCCACGTGCTGCGTATGCCTGAACACCGATTACCACGACGCGCAATGCTAACCGGTGTTAGGGATGATTGAAAGAAAGTTAGGGGCGGCCAAACCAAAACGTGGCATCAGTGCTTGAAGTCACTAACTTTTGATTTGAGCCATGTTGATAGATGCACATTACTTGGTTGGGGTTTACGCGACTATCGTAACCAATGGCTAGAGACTCTGGGTGACATGTTCCAGAGTCAATCTTTAACCTTGAGATTAAAATTACTTTATAACTATCTTTCTTCGAACTAGTTCTTTCTCCCTATATCATATACCTATATGCAATCTTTTTTATGTATACTACCACCATTCAATTAACTACTTCTATGAATTTGGTGTTCATCTTTTTGTGCTAATGAGGTGAGGCAACTTGGACTGATGCATATATGTGTCTGCTCCTACGTTGTAGATGACTGACTGACTGAACCTAATCTCAATCCAAATATTTAGATTATTCAAACCTATTAAGAGATTAAAACCATAATGATTTACACTGAGTTAACAGTTTATCTTTTGGTCTGTTATTATTTATAAATGCGTTTATATTGTTTTCTTATAAAAAGAAACGGAACAATCTTAGTCATCAGTTTCCCAAAATACAATCAATACTATTGCAAAGGTTAATTTTTAAGCATTCCTATTGTATAAACTTTATTTTAGGCTGTAAATCAGTATTCTATTCACTTTAATTAAACTAACACAAATTATTTGTTATCTTATTATTAAATTTATCTATTTTATTCATATCCATAATGCTTAACATGATTGAACGATTTGTTAAACACTTGTTTGAATCAGTACAATTTGTTGTCATCAGACTATCCTTGATATACTCTTAAGGTTGCATATAATTGACAAGAGTTATGTATAAACAATTTATCTGGCATAATAATTAATTTTACGTCCTTGATCTGTCTACCCACTTTTGGTGCTGAGGATAAGTTGTCTAACCAACTAGATTAAGACCTTGACGCGATAGGCTGACCGCCTTAACTTTGAGGCTAGTACGCGTGAGTTCGAAGTGGGGTAAAGAAAAGAAAACTATTCTATCACCTGATTGGCTGACAAGCATTCGAGTGAGAGAAGACAAGTCAACTGGAACACCACTCGATCTATTCCCAATTTCCCCGTTTCATATCAATGTAAAAAGACACATGAATAAATAGATGACTAACCCGACTACAACGTACAATAATTAGGAAGGACAGTTAGTGTTCACGGAAGCTCTTTATGAAAAATTATAATAACACTAATCAAATTACCTCCTTCGTCTACTCGGCTGTGAGGAACCGCTAGGTGTTCCACGGCCATTTCTCCAACATGCGAATTCAATATACGGCATCCGATCTGTATGGAAATGAGAATCTCTCACCGCATAATGGCAGTACGTAGCTCTTTCATAAGTTCTAACGGCGCTCTTCAAGTGATTGAGACGCTACGAGATACAATGTTCTCAAGAATAGGTTATCGGTTTCTGTGACAACGTGAGGAACGACAGAGATTGCGCTTTGCACGTTACTACCGTCCATAATTGGAAGGAAATGTGCTCTGTCGTTATGTCCTGACATTTTATATCAATTTTAAGAAATTAACGACCAATTATAACGAAGTCCAAACTAGCCATTTGATTGGACGGAACAGAAAGAAAATTACTGGAAGATGGGGATGAAAAAAAATTTCACTCGAAAAAAAATAAAAAAATGACCGTGCAATTAATGTTGACCCCAAAACTGGGGATTAATGTAGAAAATAGGGTGCAAAATATTATGTTTAAATTACAATAGCTTTGGAACAAAAAGGGCTATGGCAGTGAATCATACATCAAACGAAAGCTTATGTTCTGTAGAATAGATTAGGGACAAAAATAAATGTTAATGTTTTACAAGCTTTGAATTAATTGAAATAACGTCCCGAAAAATAGCTATCGTGGTTTGTCAAGGCTTCTTGTTTCTCTGTTCACATCAATTAATTTATCCAGAAATTCGAAAATCCTACTTAAGAAATACATAAACTTAACAACGTTGAAATATAATTGTCTACTAATGTTAGGTCCCGATAAGCACAATGAATGGTAACTTTGAGATCCATTTATGGACCAATACTAAACGTATATTTTTATCGTATAATTGTTAACTAACTAAACTATTCATATTCCTCTTATTATAAGCTTTATTTTGACCTATGAACCATTATTATACGTTTTACCGTTCTTGAATTATGCTCTGTCTATTAGTCACTACCTCCCTCACCCACAGCCACTTTTGGCCAAATTTTGTACAAATGTAATTTTCTATTTTATGGTACGTTGTGGTCTGTTTGATTGGTATATAAACTCAGTATGCTTGAAATATAATGATTCATATTTTCAGAGGCTGAGATTGGTGTTCTGGACTTAACTGAAAGGAGGACCCATCAGTCCTCTAGACTGCTCGTACGGTTTTTACGCGTCATTGATCCGATCGATAAGTCACTGCTCTCTAGTCGGCGGTCACAAGTTATAACAACTAAATATAAATATAATTTTGATAATTCTATCGGATGAGGAACTTTCAATTGTATTCAAAAAATGAAAGGACTTAGTATTATATCGCTCAGACAAGAGTTCAAAAAATTTTTTTATGAATTGTCTTGACTATGTTACCAAAATATCTTCGATATAATCCGATCCTGTCAAATTCTTTAAAGAAACCGTTCAAAAAGACACAACTGAAAAAAACGGAACAGATGCTAATTAAAATCTTAAGGAAGATGAAAGATAAGTATATTATCAAAGAAAAAATCATATAATCAGTTAATATTTACCAATTTGAGGCATTGATTTCACTATATACATAAGTATGCTTAAAAGTAATAACTGTAATAAAGAGATTCCTGTAAATATTGAAATGACGGGACAAACATTCCCTATTTTTCAACTAGATTTGTATATGATTTCAGTAGTTTCTTTTCCGCATAGATCTATAAAAATCTACATCAAAAACCGATGTCACTTGAAAGACTTTCATTAGATCAGATTCTACTGAATAGTTCTGTTGTTGCTGTTAGTTTGGAATTCTTAAAAGTATTCTTTATATAATCTTATTATGATTAAAATACTAGATAGTTTATGTAAAACATTAAAATGAAAAATACTTTTTTTCATTTATTGAGAAAATAATTTTAGACTGATATCAATTTTAGACCAGCATTGAAAACCTGGAAGAACTGGACAGCCGTTTCGTTCAAGTATAGGACTCCTCAGAAGTGCACATCCACGATCCTGCAGGCGGGATTCGATTGTGAGGTAATTACTCACTGAAGATAATCTAGAACGTTCGCTCAATATAGTAGATTAGTTAAAGTTAAATATTAACACCGTTGGATGCTCGCCTAGTGATCTAAAGGTTAGGCGTTCGTGCACGAGACCATAGGTCTAGGGTCTGCCTCTCATGTGTGGGATCGTGGGTGCGCACTTCTGAAAAGTCTCACATTAGAACGAAATGGTTGTCTAATGCTTCCAGGATTTAAATGGTGGTCTAACACTGATTCATTCATGATATCAATCGAAGGTAAAAAAATTTTCCACAACCCCTTACTAATAAAAATAATTTGTTTCACTTTTCTATCGTTACATTCTTCATTGATATCTATACATGTAAACATGCACATAGATAACCATAAATTTTAATAAAATCAATCATTTGTTGGCATTCATTTGATCTCATTTTTTCTTTGTATACACAACAATCATTCTCTTTACTTCAATGTTTATTGATTGAATTTTGTATTATGAAACAGATTTTTGTATTAAGAATTGTAAGCAGTTTTTGTTTTAATACCATGGATACATATGCTTATGTGTGTGTGTGTAACCACAATAAAATACATTTATTTCAGAGTGTGAATATACACAGTTTATAAGCTGATTGATTCATCTAGAATTTATTCATTCGATTTCATACAATCAACTATATTCATATCACCATATTACTAAGTGAGTAAACTAATGATTTTTGGTTTCCAATAAATTTGATAATTATATTATATTGTAAATCCTACCTTGTACATGAACATTGTTAAAATACAGTTAATCTACTAAAAAGGCAATAATAATTAGCCAAGGTACTGTAGTGAACAATAACACATGCTGAGACAATCAAATGAGGAGTCCCATACTAAGACGAAACAGCCGTCCAGTGCTTCCAGGTTTTCCATGGTGATCTGGCTTAAATTGACTCATGATTTCAACTATTGAAAATACACTTAGTCTACTAAAAAGTTAATAATAATTAGCCAAGGTACTGTAGTGAACAAGAACACATGCTGGGACAATCAAATGTACTTTAATGCAAAATTACAGAATTTTCTACTGAATTCTGAGAACCATACAGTAAATACTCCATTTGCGAAATGACATTCAGTTGTCTCAGACTTGATTGTTCCTTTGTTTTCACATAAATCATTCTCTATTCTCGTTCTTTTCTCTTCAATCTTCTTAACCTTCCACCACTAAATATTTCACTTTCCATTGATGATACATACTACTTACATCTATCGACATCAGTAGCACACACCACAGTAGTAATTATCATCTTTTATCAATGTACATCTCTCAGAAATGTTTACACAGATTCTAAAACTCAGATTACATTTATTATCTACTATTTATTGATGACAAAACTTAATTAGATGATCAAACCTTTTGATTAAATATTAAAATATATCTATTATAAAAAATAAGTAGTTTATGAAGTGTTGAAATAAACTTAGAATACGTATACCTAATATTTCTAGATTAAATGGACTAGTTATTAGTATCATACTTTATGTATGATTACATTATCTTTGGAGAGTAACTGCCTCAAATTTGAATCCAGCATGTGGGATCGTGGATGTGCACTACTGAAGAGTCCCATAGAGTTAAAATATGAAATGATTATAATGGATTATATAATCTTGATTTGATCTTTGTTCTAAGTTAATTGTAAATATTCCTAATAGTTCAATGTTTGATTATTTTGGCAATTAAAAAAAACTTGATTTGGTTCAAAATAATTTTTGATTGAGCCTTCAAAGATGAGAAAAAACATATAGACAAAATCAATGTTCGATCTCATGAACCTGTTATTTTACGTTGCAATTATAGTGATAATTTATTGATTACACTAAAGAACTTGTTACTAACCATTATCCTGAGTCTATTTAACAAAGTTGAGCTAAATATTTTAAAAATTTGTATGAAACATAATACTTCTAAACTATAAAAATTTATGGCAGAAGGATTTTCTTTACATTAATTCCAAACTATCGTTAACGTTTCTGAAGTCTAATAATCAATCATGTGATTAACATTATAGGAGTCTAATCCAAAAGATCTTTGCTGTTGAAAGAAGAAATTCCGTTACGGTATAATAAATCATCAGTTTATTTCATGATTCCTAAAACAATATTTGTGTTCTATTTTTTGGTATGAATCTTAATTTCTCATAGGTTACGCTCCTAAGTCTTCAAGACTACCGCAAACTCAATTTTCTTATCAGGTCCTTCAAGAATAAGTATCCATCCATAGTGTAGGCAACCGCATTATGATAGCCGCCTTCACACCTCTAATAGCATTTGGAAATGTTTGGAGGCATATGTTTTTGTTATTCCGAAATACATTTATGATTTTTTTTGAAAATTATCTAATAAACTAGGAAATAATCTATAAAGTTAAGCTTTATCGTGCTTTCAGAGAACTAATTAAACAATTAAGAAGCACTAACGAAAAGTTGTTTCACTATATTTTTCTTTGTTTTTCGACTAAGTATAATTGAATGAATAGAGTTGTGCTAAAAAGTGCCAACAATTAAGAAATCTAAGTAATATACCATATGGAATACCTTTGTATATAAGAAAATGACAGGAACTATTGGAATAGATTTTCTAATGATTAAACAATTTACCAATTTTTAAAACAATCTAAAACACTATCGTATTGTGAGTACCATGTTGATGTTGCTTCTTGAATAATTACCATCTTTTTTTAACAGAATGGCTGTAATGTATATACTTGAAAAAGAATTCGACAGTATTGATAAAAATTCTGATGGATGTTTAAGTAGAGCCGAAATTATTAGCTGTTTGGAACGTTTTGGTTTTCCTAAAAGTAAAGCTGAAGTAAGTATTTAGAAAATCATTGTTTTTTTTCCCCCCTTCATAATTGCTATTTTCCCTGAATTAATACACTTTATGACCATAGGAATACCTTTCCATTTCTGCTATTCTTGAAATCCTCCTTCTGAAGACTTTCACTACATATCCCGAAAACCTATTATAATTCAATTTTCTAGAATCACGTTATATTGATTTTAACCGTTAATTTTCATTCAAATTACTCATCATTAGGTCTATAGTAAAAATCGTGAGTTGATATCAATAATTGGTTTGGCCTCCATGGGTCATGAGGGATGCACACTACTGAGTGATCCCATACTGAAATGATTCTACATATCACCCCAAGTGATAGCACTCGGTGATGAATACAATCCACGAATTGCATATTAATTCTTTCTAATTATTGATTTAGGTCCAAATAATACCGAACTTTTACAGACACCTCTATAAAAACTAATGTCGAATCGATCTGTGTAAATCAAAAGCTTCAACCAGAATACGTATAAATGGGACTAGAAGTGCTATAATATTAAAGGGATAGTAGATGTTGAAAAAATTATATTGAATCTAGATTTATTTTGTCAGAAATTATAGTTTTCCTTTGCTGACTTATACATATTACTTTATGTAGCTAATAAATGCAGTTGAAAAAATGACATTGATTAAATTCATATTAATTCTATTGACTAGAGACATCATGTTCATTCATCAAAGCAGATCATTTCTGACGAGTTAGACTGGTAATAACCAACTATATATATATATATATATATATCATAATATTACTTACATACTTATGCCTGTTACTCCCAATGGAGCATAGGCCGCCGACCAGCATTCTCCAACCCACTCTGTCATGGGCCTTCTTCTCTAGTTGCATCCATTTTTTGCTCAATTTTCTCATGTCTATCTCTATTTTCCGGCGTAATGTGTTCTTTGGTCTTCCTCTTCTCCTTAGGCCTTGAGGATTTAATGTGAGGGCTTGTCTTGTGACGAAGTTCGGTGCTTTCCTCAATGTGTGTCCTATCCACTTCCAGCGCTTCTTCCTGATTTCTTCCTTCACTGGGATCTGATTTGTTCTCTCCCACAGTAGGTTGTTGCTAATAGTGTCTGGCCAACGGATCCGAAGTATTTTGCGTAGACGGCTATTAATAAACACCTGTATCTTCTGGATGATGGCTTTCGTAGTTCACCAGGTTTCCGCCCCATACAGTAGAACTGTCTTCACATTTGTATTGAAAATTCTGACCTTGGTGTTGGTCGCCAATTGTTTTGAGTTCCAGATGTTCTTCAGTTGTAAATATGCTGCTCTTGCTTTGCCGATCCGTGCATTCACATCTGTATCAGATCCACCGTGTTCATCGATGATGCTGCCCAAATATGCAAAGGTTTTTACATCTTCCAAATCTTCTCCGTCAAGTGCGATTGGATTGTTGCATGCTGTGTTGTATCGGAGAATCTTGCTTTTCCCTTTGTGTATATTGAGACCTATTGCTGCTGAGGCTGCAGCTACACAGGTCGTCTTTTCCTGCATTTGTTGTTGCGTTTGTGATAGAAGAGCCAGATCATCTGCGAAGACCAGATTGTCCAACTGCATCCTAGATGTCCACTCTATCCCGTGCTTCCCTTCAGATTTTGACGTCTTCATGATCCAGTCGATCACCAGGAGAAAGAGAAAGGGTGAGAGTAAGCAACCTTGCCTGACACCGGTCTTTACTTCGAACGACTTTGTCAGCTGTTTTCAATAAACTATTTTGCAGTTTAATCCATCGTAGAAATTCCGTATGATATTGACTATCTTGTGAGGCACGACGTAGTGTCGAAGAAGCTTCCATAGGGTTTTCCTGTCCACGCTGTGAAATGCTTTTTCATAGTCAATGAAGTTGATGTAGAGCGATGAATTCCATTCAATTGATTGTTCCACAATGATCCGTAGAGTTGCGATTTGGTCTGTACACGATCGATTTTTACGGAATCCTGCCTGTTGATCTCGAAGTTGGGCGTTTACGCAGTCCTTCATCCTGTTTAACAATACCTTGTTGAAGACTTTTCCTGGTATTGAGAGAAGAGTGATTCCGCTGTAGTTGTCACAGTTGCTGAGATCGCTTTTCTTTGGTATTTTGACCAGAAGTTCTTCTTTCCAGTCTGTTGATGCTTGTTCCTCATCTTTAAACCCTATTGAAGAATATGTGGAGTATCCTTGCAGTTACCGCTACGTCTGCTTTCAGTGCCTCTGCTAGAATGCTGTCTGGTCCTGTTGCTTTGCCACACTTGATTTGTCTGATAGCCATGCTGATCTCTTCAATTGTTGGTGGGCCAGCATCGATTGGGAGTCCCTGAGTGCTGCTCCGATGTTGGGTGGGTTCAGTGGGGTTGGTCGATTCAACAGTTCTTTGAAGTGTTCTACCCACCTGTTTCGTTGTTCTTCAATGTTGGTGATTACCTTGCCTCCCTTGCTTTTCACTGGTCGTCCTGGTTTACGGTGATTTCCAGAGAGTTTCTTTGTTGTGTCATACAGTTGTCTCATTTTTCCTTCTCTTGCAGCCATTTCTACCGTCATTTTTAAATCTTTCGCATAATAACGTTTGTCAGTTCTGATGCTCCTCTTCACTTGCTTGTTTACTTCTGTGTATTCAGCTTGTGCCTTGGCTTTTTCTGCTCTTGTTCGGCTGGTATTGATTGCTGTCTTCTTGTTCCTCCTTTCTTGAATCTTATCCAGTGTATCGAGCGTGATCCAATCCTTGTGATGGTGCTTCTTTTGGCCCAGAACCTCATGGTATGTTGAAGTGATTGCCTCTTTTATCTCTTTCCAGTTGCTCTCCATAGTAGTTCCTTCTCCATTGAGTAGATCACGAAAGGCCTGGAACTTATTGCTGAGGGTCATCTTGAATTTGTTGAGTTGGTCAGTATCCCGAAGAAGAGCCGTATTAATCTATTGTGATATTTTCCGCCCCGTTATCCAGAGCTTTTTGAGTTTCAATTTCATCTTGGCGACCAGCAAGTGATGATCTGATGCTATATCAGCTCCCCTCTTGGTTCTCACGTCCTCCATCGTCCTCCTGAACTTTTTGTTGATACAGATATGGTCGATTTGGTTCTGTGTGCTGTGATCCGGTGAAGTCCATGTGGTTCTGTGGATGCGTTTAGGTGGGAATATAGTGCCGCTTATGACCAGTTTATTGAAGGCACATAGATTTGCAAATCTTTCACCATTTTTGTTCCTTTCTCCTAGTTCGTGTCATCCCATGATGTCTTCATATCCGGTGTTGTCCATTCCAACCTTGGCATTTAGGTCAACCATCAGAATGGTCAGGTTCTTTGTTGAGCACTCCTAGACGATTGACTTTGCCTATTGTAGAATTGATCTTTAGCGTCTTCTTTGTAGTCGTTGGTAGGCGCATAGCATTGGATGACGTTCATTGAAATGCCCTCTTTCTTTGTTTTGAAGGAGGCTTTGATGATCCTTGGTACGTGAGATTCCCATCTTATAAGTGCATTTTGTGATTGTTTGGACAGCATCAACGCAACGCCTTCTGTATGTGGGGCATTTTCTTCTTCATGTCCAGAGTATAACAACAGCTCCCCTGAAGCTAATCGTTGTTGTCCAACTTTCGTCCAATGCATTTCACTGATCTCAAGCACCTCTAGATTGTATTTCCTCATTTCTGCAGCAATTTGGAAGACTCTTGCAGTCTCCCGTATTGTACGAGCATTCCATGTACCTAAATAGATGGTTGCTCTGGTTGTTAGAAGAGGCATCGGCCTCGTGACTTTCGAAGGAACTCGGCTTTCATCATGAGGCGTCATAACTCTTCTAAACGAAAACCTTCTGACTCCCGGGGCAGAGTTTAAATGGTTTGAACAATTTTTTTCTGGTTAGCGTTTTTTTAACGAGTTGGTTTTCTACGGGATGTGGTCGCTAACCCCATGCCCAACCCTCCTTCTTTATCCGTGCTTGGGACCGGCAGTAGCCCCCTGGTGGACTCCAGGCGGAGTTATCATAATATTTGGTTGATAATAAAATTTCTAATATTATAAATTACTGTTGGCAATCCTAAATATAATACACAGAATTCAAAAGTATATTTTTTCTAAATTACCCTCTAGTTGTACACTTTGAATCTTTAATAGTTCAACTTAATTTATATTTTGTTTATTGATATTATGAACCGATTAATGTTAGACCATCATTGGAAACCAGAAAGCACTGGATGGTCGTTTCGTCCTATTGTGAGGTTCCTCAGTAGTGCGCATCCGCGATTCCGCTAGCGGAATCCAACCTAATACCTTCAGTTTCGCGTGCAAACGTCTAACCGGTAGACAATCGAGCGAGCATTCAATGGTGTTAATATCTAACTTCAACCAATCTACGATATTGCACGACCATCTTCCATTGTCTGAGGTAGATACCTGTCTCTACTTGACATGGATTAACTCCACTGGTCATGGCTTCTCACTAGAACACCGACAATACCCTCACAAAACTAGTCACTAATAAGTACATGATAATTATCATTAATTGGTTATGAAGATTGTTAAGTTTTTTTGTTGATTCAAATCATGTATTCCATACTAGAATAAAACGTTCATTCAGTACTTCCATTGTTTAACATCAATCGATTTAAGAACTTAAACAAAAATATAACAATCTAATCATAATTACCAATTAATTTTTCTAGTTTGATGTTTTCTATTCATTCAATAATTCAAACTTGAAAAATTTATAATTTACATTATAAAGTTGTTTTATTCGTTTGACAATTTGCATATATATATATATATATATATATATATAATCATGTGAGAAGAAAATGAATAAACGTGATAATCAAAATATATTCAGCAAAAGAAAAAAAACAAAAAGAAACGATTAAAAAGAAGTACGTAATTGTTTAAGTTATTAATTGTAACGAATTTTTTGACATTCAGAAAAAAAAGAAAAACAAAGCAAGACTCTATTTGTTGAAATTCAAATTGATTATTTAAAAAAAATTTAATAAGCACAACGAAAAAAACAAAATCATTATTCTTTTTCTTGTTTTCTTTTTTCTCTTTATAAAGTGTGATAAACGGTTTTAGAACAACATATATTTATATTAGTGAATAATATTGTTTCGATTAGATCCTCATCAAGCTTTACTCTAACATACAGTAATATTTATATGCATATACGAAATTATTAAACCAAACAAGGTAGTTTATGAATCATTTAAAGTTATTTATTGTATTCTTACTAAATTTCCTCATGGTGTTCAATCTCGTCTCTTACACATAGCAGAAGCTATAAGAATTCGAGCTAACAATCTAAGTATTTGTGTTTATAAGAAATTCGTAATACTCTTATCTTCCATGGTGATCTAGCTTCAATTAACTCATGATATCAACTATTAAAATTACTAGAATTTCCACAAAATCCCTCCTGATACCAATCAACATATGCTCACTAGTGATTGACTTCGAGAGGCATTTCCTGGAGTTCTAGTGAGAAGCAGTGATCAGTGGAGTTCAACCAGGTCTGTTGTGAGATAGTAGCTCACTGAAGACAATGGTGGACGGTGGCGCAAAATCGTGGGTTAGTTGAAGTTAGACGTTAACTCCGTTGGATGCCGGCTGGCTCAGTGGTTTAATGGTTAAGCGCTCGCGCGTGAGACTATTAGCTCCTGGGTTCTAATCTCGCGTGGTGGGATCGTGGATGCGAACTGCTGAAGAGTCTCATACTAAGACGAAACGGCCGTCCAGTGCTTCCAAGTTTTCCATGGTGATCTAGCTTCAATTGACTCATGATCTCAACTATTGGAACCTAATAAATGAATTTATTTATTATCATTTTCCATACTCTCTGTTCGTTTATTTTTCTTCACACCCTCTCACCCTTTTTTTCTTAAATATACGCTTCACAGTGTAATTATCTGAACACTTCTCATTACGTAATCTTATAATTTCTATAAATGTTATATGTATATTATTGTATACGAAGCTTTCTTTTATTTGTCAGCTTTTAATAAATTTTGTTTAGATTGGTTAATTCTTTATTTGTGAATCTTTTTTTTGTATTTCTTCACGGTACTTTTTTTCTGTAAAGGAAGTTATCAAACTATATGATGAAAATAAAGATGGGAAAATATCCAAAAATGAATTCATGAAAGCTACAAATAAGAAACTTTCACAATCAGATGTATCGTGAGTTTTTTTCTGAGATTTTGTTTTTTGTACTGAACAAATCATCTGTCTAGATTAGTATTTCCTGTACTTTAAATGTTATTTTTAATTAGTTAACCTGAAAGAATACAAGTTTAATTACATAACAAGTTAGGTATCTGTTTTATATTGTTTAACTGGACAGTTTTTTATCCCGCTAACATAACAGAGCATTACTAGTATAATCACGTGATAAGATTTAGAAGAAATTGATAATGTAGTGAATAAGGACTCAAGTGGAGACAATCGAATGAATTTGAAAACTCTTTGAGTCCCTTCAGTGGAACTGGGTGCTCACTAGATTTTAGAAGTTTGGAAACATAAAATTACAGAACATCTTAGTACAACCTGAGAATCGTACAGTAAATACTTAATTTTCCAAGTGTCAATTAATCATCAGTATTGGGGTTGTGGAGATTATTAAGTTTTTGATTGATATCATGAACCGATTGATGTTAGGCCACCATTGAAAACCGGAAAGCACTGGATGGCTATTTCGTCCTATTGTAGGACTCCTCAGCAGTGCACATCTACAATCCCGTTCGCGGGATTCAAACCCAGGACCTTCAGTCTGGCACGCGAACGCTTAACCTAATTTTATAATATCTGATTTAGAATACACTTTGATTAAAAACATTTAATTGAAAGAAAAGAACTTCAGTAGTTGAGATCATGAGTCAATTGAAGTCAAACCATCATAATAAACCTAGAAGCACTGGATATTAATCTCATTTCATTCAAACAATATCGGTGAGACTCTAATTTATGGACGTGCCAATCAGAAGCGTTTTAGGGATTTCAAGGGTACGGCTCCAACTTCAATGCTTAATGCTAACGTACGATCGGCTCACAAGGAATTTTGTACAAAACGTGATAATTGAATGGCTATAACAAATAAAACGGATTGATTATAATTTGTGAACGAATCAATCAGGTATAAGATAACAGATCTCGGATTTTAGCACGAAAGCCTTTCATCCATTTGGCTAAATGAATCTCTGGCATAATAGCTTATGTCAGTTTGTGATGAAAACCCCATATATAATTCCTTACTAAGGCAAATTATGACAATTATCGAGAAGTGGATAATAAAAGCACCAGCAACACTGGCTGCAGCCAGGTACTACAATATATTCGGATGTTTGGAGAGTGTACAGACTCCTACATAGGCTTGGTTATGTGCATCGTGTCGTTATACACAAGAAGCATTTTGCTTACTCAACAACCCAAGTGCACATAAACAATATTGAAACTATGTGGTCGAGGCTGAAAGATTTTTTGAGACTTTATCATGGTTCCAGAGGCCGACTATTCTGTAACCGTATGGATGATTTCCTCTACTGCATACATTACGATTTTAGAACCTCTTTCTAACGTTGACAAGTTTTTGAAGCACGCATAAGAAAGAGTGTATCCACTTTATTTCTTTGGTTTTGTATAATATTTTTTTACTCTGTACTAACTGTTTGCTGATTGGCTAATATTCTCAAGGTCACTTAAGATTCGTTCAAAGGTCGTTCATAAATTAGAGTCGCCACAATCTGTTTGTTACTTTGTCATTATATATATATATATATATTCAACACATTTCAACATTTTTTTACATCTATTTCAAGATGTGCTGCATTAAGGAAAATATTTCGTGAAATGGATCGAAATAAAGATGGAACTATTTCAAAAGAAGAAATAAAAAATTACATGAAAAGTGATTGTAATTTTATATTTCCTATACAAGTTGAACAATGGGTTGATAAATATGATAAAAATAAAGATGACAGATTAAATTATGAAGAATTTATTGGATTTGTTTCAGAATATTTGTAAATATAACTTTGTTTTGTTTGCATAATCAATATTATCATTGTACTAATTTTCATATTCAATAAGCATATTTTAGCAAATGACAATATATACTACATTGTTAGTACATTTTTTCTTATTTACTTGAATGAATTTTCGAATTTAGTAATGTTTCAATACACTTTTATGAATAACTGAAAAATGTTCCTTTTTATTGATGAATATTGACTTTCATGGTTGAAACCGTAAAATATTTTAAAAACATGGTAACAATTTTACCCAAATGGTAGTACGTATTCCACGATGTTGATGACTTGATAATACAAGACTTACTTACTTACGCCTGTTACTCTCAATGAAGTATAGGCCGCCGAACAGCATTCTACAACCAACTTTGTCCTAGGCCTTCCTTTCTAGCTCTATCCAATTTTTTGTTGATTCTTCTCATGTCTGTCTCCATTTCTCGGTGTAATGTGTACTTTGGTTTTCCTCTTTTTCTTTGGCCTTGAGGATTTCATGTGAAAGCTTGCCTTATGACGCACGCAAGTCCTCCGTCTGGAGCTTGGGGCTACTGGTGGTCCCAAACCTGGATAAAAGGGGAGGGTTCAGTATGAGGTTAGCGATCCCATCCTGTAGAAAATTAACTCGTTAAAAAAGCGCTAACCAGGAAGAAAACTTAGCATACTAAAATGTATCCATCAATTAATAATCTTATTTTGAGAAGGTAAATAAATCGAAGCTAAGAAATACAAAAGAAATTAAATTGTTAAGTATTTTAAGTAGTCTTTTAGCTGAAATGTTAATAATAGTAACTTATGGGGTATTTGTTTGTGGTCTAGGCATAAAGCCATATATACTTAGAATAGGTTTAATTATAACAGCCTGATCTGTAACTGCAATCCATAATGTTAACATTTATAGCTTAAAGTGATGACTTTCACCATCGAGAACTGTTTTAATATAAAATCAAGTCATAACAGTATTTCTATCAGTCTCTCGTAGTGGCCAAAAGAATTCATTGTAGTACATTTAAATGATGAAGTATTACAAATTGTTTGGCTTTATATACTACTTTTAAAAGTTCAAACTATAAAATTTCTTGCTTATAACTCACTCAAACTTCTGACTGATCTTGGAGAGAAGTTTAGCAATAAAAAATCTGTAAACAACTCTGTCCTGAGCTCTCCTTCCCAGTTGTTCCCAAGTCCTATCCATAGTTTTTATGTTCACCTTCACTTCCCTTAGTTATGTGTTCTTTGAGGATACTAAGCTAAGGTTTGTCGTGTAATGCAACCGAATGGTCACTGTATAGTGTCTCCTACCCCTAACGTATTTTCCTGACTTATGCAAATGGTAGTGGGTTTGTTATTTCTCACAGTAGATTATTGTCGATGTTTGAAGTTTGTATGAACTAATGATTCTTTTGTACTTGATGACTGCCTGATTTCAAACCTTTCCATATAGTCATCAAAAGCATCAAACTCTGAATTTATGTCCAATTGCTCCATCACAGGATCCTGCTCGTGAGGCCAATGTGATGATTAGAAGTATCTGAATTATTATACGAATTAGGAATCCCAGAAATAACACAATATACCCAAGAAGAACTAAACGAGCACGAACAAACGTTTTTAGAATTCGAAATCAAGCAGTCATCAAGTAAGAAGGAATCATTAGTTCATATAAACACCACATGATGGCTTTTAAAAAATGAATCTAGAGTATCATGCGTAGACAGCTACTTATTAATACATGTACTATTTTATGGATGTTGATGATATTTCTTTACGTACGAGTTCTGCTTATAGTGTTAAGTTGCAGTTGCTCAGACTTCCAAATATTTTTGGATGATAGGAATGATCTCATTCTCTTCCCGATTCACGTCTGTATCAAATATGCCTTGTTTATCGGTTATGCTTCCTAGGCATGTAAATGTTTACAGCTCTTTCAGAGCTTCAATATCAAATATGATTCGGTTGATTCTTGTTATTTTGTACTTCACTGTGAATGTTGAGTCTTATTTCTGTGAAAGTCTTTGCTGCGTTAAATGTCTTCATCAGCATTTAATGTTGTGTAGGATAGATGGTTCAAGTCATATACAAAGTTCGAATCACCTAGTTTATCCCGAAATGTCCACTGTATTTCGTAGTGTTCCTGAGATGTCGAGGCCTTCCTAATCCAAACAATAACCAGAAGAATCTGAAAAGGTGAGATTCGGAAGTCTTATTCGACGGCATTTTTTACTTGGAGTTCATCTATGTGTTGTGTGCATGTATGAATTTAGAATCCAGTTCCTAATGAAAATTCCGTGTGATGGTGAAGATCTTCTTATACACTCCGTAGTTTCAAAAAAGATTCCACCAGGCTTTTCTATCCACTCTGGTACCGACGGTAATTGAATAACTTTCCAGTAATAATACTCATTAAGATCTCGCTTACATTTCATCATGATGTGGTATCCCTTCTTTCCAGTTTATTGGTTCCTGTTCTCTGCGAAAATAACATGAAGCATCTGTACAGTCACTAATATATCTGACTTGAGTGCCTCCGTATGTGCTGCTTGTTATACTGCATTGCGGCTCGTGATATATCTGGTGGTCCAGCTACTCTCTATTTTGTTGTTGATGAACTGAAAAACATAGAAAGGTTTGTGTGTGTTGCTTTAATACCCGGCTGCATTAGTTTGTTCAAGAGATGTCTAAAGTCCCCGATTTACCTCAGTCATCAGTATTTCGTATTGTTTCAGACTGATCTCTTCACTTTATCAAATCTCCCTACTAACTTCTTGGTCGCGTTACGCAGTTCTTTCTTATTTTTTTCGTGCTTTTTCTTCCAATCCTTACATATATTTCAACTCATTGGTCCTGATGCTCTTCTTCAGTCGCTTGCTTCAGTACATTTAGCTTGAGTTTAGGCATTCTTTAGCTTTGATCACATATCCTGGACCTTTATCCGCTTATTTTTTCCTTCCTAAGTCATGTTAAAACTATTTACAGAGATCCGCCCTTTATACTGGTGCTTCTTTCCACCAGGAACCTCCTAGTATGATCAAATTCTTGCTTCTTTAGTGCATTTGCAGTTGATATCCTCTTATTCTGGTAAGTTTCTTAAGAATCAGTTGTTAGCAAAAGAGATCTTGAACTCGTTGTGTCTGTTGATTTCTCAAATAAAGCCTGTATTAAACATTAGATATGCCGTTTGTTCAACTTACCAACTCCTCTTTATAGTTAGTCTTAGCCTGGCCACATAAGATGATCTGTAGTTACTGAATTTCTTCTATTAGTTCCTACGTCCTCTGTGTAAAATGGTGATGTTCATAACTTTATTGAAAGTACACAGATTTACCAGTTTCTCATCGTCTTCGTCTCTCTCATAGCGTCCATGATGACTCATGATGCCTTCGTACCCAATTTAAATGAAGCTGCAGTATATGTGTTGTCACTTTATTTGGAGTGAAGATGCCACAGGTATTCGGAGTTTGACAACGCTTTAACCAGTAACACCTTCTAATACGAAGCTCACCCACCAAGTAAAATCAAAAGACAGAAGTGAGGAGATCGAAGATATATTTGATAAGCTATCAATATATCGAGGATCGTTTGCACTAATCTGGCTAGCGATTGCGGCAGATGTTGAGCACGGCGTTCCCACACGTGATCTGGTGCGGATGCTTGACCGAGCGCCTTCAGCTAGATGAGTCCAATGTCGAAAACTTACAGAGCTATTTGATTTTGGGGAAATATTTACCGCTACAGATCACTCCCCCACTAGTGGGGAAGTGATGACCCTAAGACGTGGCCAGCCAGAAGTTTAAACCCAACGAGTTTTTCGTTGGTAAACACTCTTCTGATAGCTTGCTAGGTTAAGCAGCGTCTGGTCGTCTTTCCTTACTATAATGGACCATGATGTACAATATAGTATAAAAAAAAGGTACAATGCAGATTTTCGTTTCTTGCAACTTCATCGTTCTTTTCATCGTCTTTTCCAGTCGTCCTGGAAAAGAAAAGAAAAATATGTAAGTGCATGTCGGAATACACTCGTACGCGCGTGAAAACACAAAACGGGCGAAGAAAAAGGAAAACAAACTCATGCTCACGTAATAGCGTAAAAAAAGATTTTTATAATATCGTTATTTTTTTGTTTTTTCTTTTTTGAAATAAAAAAGATAATAAAAATATATAAACATATTAAATTCGGGTTTTTAAAAAAAAATTATATATAGTACCAGGGAAAATTGAGAGGATATAAAATGTTAACTTATGTCTTACGTGCAGTAATCGTTCAAATGTTCTGGAAATCTTACTCTTCTTCCAGAACGCGTTGTTTTGAGTTTATTTTCGGATACTGTCGAAGTATCAACGTGTGTGTCTGCTGTCGATTGAGGTATTATAAGTGCAGGAGTAGTGTTGTGCGATTGTATTGAAGGAAAATCGACGTGAATAGGATTTCCTTCTAAATACGCTGCTTTGAGGCGATCGATACTGATGCTTTCGTTGGTTCCGTTCTTATCGATTATATAGTACTTAGATTCGCGTTGAAGAACTTTGAAAGGTCCTTCATATGTTGATTCGAGAGGTCGTCGATGCGAGTCTCGAGGTACGAAAACGTGTGTACTATGTCGTAAGTCAGGTTGAACGAAAACATCAGTTGATTGTGGTCGAGTGGAAACAGGTTTAACTGAACGCATTGCGTTTGTAAGCCTGTTCGCGTAGGAGGTTAGATCTATGTCCATCGAAGAGGATGAAGGATCCACGAACTCTCCTGGAAGTCGAAGGGTCGTACCATAAACGAGTTGAGATGCAGTGTATCCAATGTCAGATTTCACTGCATTGCGTATGCCTAGTAAGACGAGTGGAAGAGCGTCAGTCCACTGAGAAACTTTATACAGCTACGTTAATTCATCAATATTGAGTGATCCTTTTTTTAGTCAGCTTAGCTTTTTGTCATCTGTAGTTTCAAGGTTGGAGTTATACTATGAAGGGACACGACCGAGTAAAACCATTTTTAAGGATAAATTTGTAGAATATTTCTAAAATTCTGTGCTGTTGATGTAGATTTACTTAAATATTGTGTCTTACAACGAAGCTTCAAATATTTAGTTTAAA